GGGATTCAAATAAAAAAAAAAAAAAAAAAATACCACAAATATATTCATGCGTATATAGGTATATACAATATTTAGATAGTAACATTATAATCGGAATCAATGCATAGATATAAAATATAAATTATAAAATCATTGAATTATTTTATTGGGCTAGATATTTTTAGGCAGTTAAATAAATTATTGTTATTTTTAATTTAAAAAAATTTAATTCTTGTTTAATAACACGGAAATCATTTAATATTAATTTAGTTTTAGTAAATATTGTCTTATTTATGGTGTCGAATGTCATAAAATAATATAAAAACAAAAGCATTTCTGTATGGTTAATTTGAAAATTACATGATACAATATTACATGATATATTTTTCATATATCATGAATTATATGATATTATATAATTCAAGGATTGATGAAGGATGATGAATAATTACTATTAATTATCTACTGACCGAGTAATTTAGAAGTAGCTAGATTGGTGGATATTAGTGTTAGGATTTCAGCAAATTGATAATATTATAGTTTATACTTTGCTGAATACTATAATTATCTCACAAGGTTATAAGATTCATAATTTATATTTTATTTGATAAAACTAAAAGAAAAAATTTAAGGAGTTATAAACACAATGTAATATTGATTTAACAAATATTGATACATAATTATGAAGGTTGTGTTAAACGTCGCTCTTTTGTCAGTTGATACTTAAACATAATAAACATATTTATTTTCAGTCATTTTATTATTTCAAGGTTCATTTTAAAAATTGTCATCTATATTAATCAAATTAAGATAATCTTAGAAAAAAAAATTAGTTTAACTGAATTTAAGATAATAAAGTCGACAAACTGTGTTAGTAATTAGTGTTCAAGAGCAATGAAATATACTTTTGTTGTTTACATTTGTATTTTAATCATTTAAACTTAGTACCAACCTATTACAGTATTATAGCCTTATTGAACAAAAAAGTTCACAGAAGTTTATTATACCTACCAAATTGTGAAGCTAGCTGACTTAACTCAATTAGTTGATAAGTAGCATTTACAGGAGATAATAATTTTAAACAAAGCCGGTGAAGTAATATACTAGTGGAGATAGCGGCATTGAATTAGTAAAGTACACTAGTAAAATAGACTCGTGTATTTTTTCGTCATGCAATAGTATTATATATTGTTCTTGTTGTTCCTACTTGATAGTTTTTCCTTTTTAAAAAATAACGTACAACGTGAGAACAAATTTAATTATCCATGTATTTCGCTTGTTTTAAATATATATATATATATATACTATACATAGTACGTATAATATATATTTCACTATATCACTATCTTATTAGAATAGATTAGAACAAATTCTAACTTGAGATTTTAAACATTAATCAAAACATTTTTCTTATTGGTTTTCTCACTGTTAGTACTGAGTTCAGTGTCGTTTTATAATCTATAGTTCTTACATATAGATATAAGTTTTCATGGTCTCCCACACGATCCTGTTCAGAGGGGCTAATTATCTTTTTGAAAGAATAAAAAAATAAAAATAGATAGTTAAATAGTATATAACTATTTTTAACATTGACTTATATTGTGTATACCTACTATTATGTCCGTATAATGAAATCGACTTACTTAAAATATATTACTGAATACTACTGATAGGTTCACTATCATTTGATTTACAAATCTGTATAATACAGAACTGTGGAATTATTTAGAATATATTATGATCATTTTACATTGTTGCTGCGTTAATTTATGATCAATAATCTATGTTCTAATACTTAATTATAATATCGTGTTCAAAGCATAGGATGATAATTGATAAACCACTTGGAAATATATTCAGAATTTGTATCTTATTTTACCATTTTCATTTCATCGATTTTTATATTATAATTGATCTTGATTGTTATATTTTTCTTTGATTTTGTAATTAATTATGCTTAATTGATTTTGATTGTATATTTTTTTTAAATATTGATTTATATTAAGTCTTCAACTACTAAACTGGCCTAGTACTGTGTGGGCGGAGGGAGGGAGACGATTGGTTAGAACACGTCTGTATGTGTGTGCAAGGATGTGTTGCTAAAAACCCAGGTGGTCACCCATCCAAGTGCTAACAAAAACGGCCGGTACTTACGCTCAGATTGTTGCCGCAAATTGTAGAGCTTCTACGACTGCCTCTCACCAAGCTACGATTGTATTTTTATTTTTCAAAAAAAAGTTTTGTAGGAAGTATAGGTATATTCGGGGCACAAATTATATTTATACTAGTTAACAACTTTTGACAGGCTTTTCCCTATCTATATAAGAACGTAGTAAGTCAATCAACTAACTGACTGACATATTGAATATATAATGTCCACCCTTTAGTCAAAGTGATCGATGCCTACAAAATAATTGAAAATCATTCAAAAATAACTTTTTTTTTTATCTATGTCACAATTTTTGAACGTAAAACACTTACTAACAATAAAACCTAGTACTAGGTAATACATATAGTTCACACTGGCAATGTGGTACCCAAAGTCTAAAAATATTTATTGTAGTAATTTCAGAAACATGTTATTTTATCTAATCCAGTATTACGATTTTGTATAACCAGTATTTTGAAATGTTCAAAAATGTAATCTCATACTAAAAGTAATTTTCCAAACATAGACAACTATTGCAATTGGTCCATCACGTAGACTGGTACATTGCACATATTCAGTCACATTTCAAGGATATGGCCTGAAGTGAAAACCAAAGTTCACTTTTCATTTTACCTAATGAATAATTGGATAACATAAGGAACACATATTTAAACTTTAAATCTATATTTTAATATTACATTACTTTGTAGAGAGCTTATATTTTGTGACTCAAATCAACATAAAAAACATATAAATGGAGACACGCTTTTTACAAGAATGTTTGTAAAGTGTCATTCTTTCTAACATTTTCAATTTATTTTTTTGTCACTCAGACTAATGAGAAAATATTTTGGAATACAAATGTAAAGTGGGTCATATCAACCCATTTTTGTCCTGAAAAGGATTGTATCTAGAAATGAGATTACAATCTACAACTAATAAGCATACATACTACTTACCTATATTATATTAAGTAAGATCATTTTTTGACATAAATCACTAATCTAGCCGCCTATCTTCCTTTTTTTTTTATAAACTATAGTTGCACAATTTAAGGGATAACTATTAGGGTCAAAAGTTACAGATATGATTTGAATATTCAATATAGACATTATAATGATAAGAACATGTTTTGTATAGTTTTCATAATTTAGAATACTTACTTAACCCATTTATCATATATAATATAATATATGAAATATTTAGAATAAGAGACAAGAGTGTTTATTATTATATTAAAGTATATTATACTAATATATTTTTAACAATTTTGATTCATAGAAAATGTCAGAGAAAATATTTCACAGCTAAAGTATTAACAATAATTTTTTACATAGAAATTATTTTATTTTATTGATATATTTTCCATACAATATTTTAAGCAAGTAATTCGAATTTGTTGGAATATCGATTGTATATTCACAGAATTACATGTATGACGTAGGTGTATAATATATATGCAGGTATATTATAAAATATACATGGTATTATATAATCCGTGTATAAAGTTA